AGAAAAGAGGTAGTGAGTTCAATGTATAATAAATATATGTTATTGAACTAGCGTGGGGTCCATATTGCAGGCATTACCTTTACCTATTAACGTTTTACCTGTAGTGAATTTTGTTCATTTGGCATCAATCATATTTATAACTTACGTATTTCAATGAATGGCTCCAATCCTTTCTTCATTTCTTTGCAACTGATCAGCGGGGCAAAAGACACTGGAAGTACACCCTCAGTGTCCCACTCGGTCTCCCCGATGCGACGCATTCTACACAGCTTTTTTCAGGGGTCAAAGAGTCACAGTATCAACCAAAAGTGCACCATGAATAGCTCATAAGCCCTAACCTTGGTATGAGAAGTCATTTTAAATATGTACAGTAAAGTTCTATAAAAAGATCCCCTTATCATTAGGAAAACTTTTAATACGTGGTTTTAATTAAAACATGCTTTGCTCAAATCACCTGTTGTGCCGTTATGTAGTATTTTCATATTTTTAATGGAGAAACAACAACAACATGATGTTAAGTGTAAATTCTGGGAGAAATGTATACTCGGAAAAAATCCAAGTCCCAGATGGGATTTGAACCTGCGATGCTGTCAGTGAGTTCATATGAGTCAGTCCGTGGCTGGTAGCCGCACAGTGCGGTTCCAGTCGATACCCACAATTTGACCCTTGCTTACCATAGAGTCTCCAGTAGCTCAGTGGTTAGAGTATCCAACTAGATCACGGAGGGTCGTGGGTTCAAATACCATCTGAGACTCAGATTTTTTCCAACTGTACGTTTCTCCCAGAATTTACAATTAATAATTTCTTTTTTTTGTCAGGTTTTTTAGTGTCTCATATTAAAACTAGCCATATTGCCTACCAGCTTTTAGCCTCCTATGCAGATGTTCTTTGGGCATTGTGTGACAAGCTCAAAGAGCATCTGTGTAAGAGGACAGCCAGCTCTATGAGTCTCCAACCAGTGTGAGGTTCAAAAGTTATAGGTTTAATTCATGCTAGGAGAACTCAGAATTGTTTTCTGATCTGTCTCGTCGATAATTTTAATTATTGTGTCATTGATTGACTGATTAAACACCTTTGCATCTATAGATCTGTTTGAGGAACAGGGATGATGCAGTGATTTTAGAGCTTGCCTTCCTCTATAAATGTGGTCCATGAAGGTTCAAATTTCAGATTTTGTGTCATGATTAGACCTTGAGTTGGTTGTTGGTTAGACTGTGTCCTTGGTGTGTATGTTTTTATCCCCAGGTTCTCTGGTTTTGCTCCCTCAAAAAGAAAAAAAAAACTGTCTACTTCTAAACTTCAATTTGATCTGGACATAGTGGACAATATCAAAACGTCCCTCAGTCAGATGTGCTACTACTTTCGAATTTATCATAAATTATTAAATCATTAATTATTTATTACTATACCTACCAAGCTTATAAATACCATCATTGTTTTTTCCAAAATAAATTAAACGTTGCATAATTTTTGTGGTGCTTTTGATGGTATGGAATACTTACTAATAACTGTGATTTATCAGATATATTTTATTTACCTTGTCATTGAAAGGCATAACCAAAATACCACCCACTCTCACTAAAGACTTCATGTACTCTTCATTTTCATTAGGACATGCTGCACCACAATACACACGGTCGTACTGTCTATAATGTGTATTGAGACACAAACAGTTCCCAACGATAAACACTGGTTCACCAAAATTTGTTCCTTGGTAAACTGGGTTAGTCTTTTTAAACATCTTGAGTTTCTCCTCCGCAAATTCGACGACATCCTCAAACAATTCAACCCCATGATTAATGCCGTTAGAACCAATAATTAAGCCGACCATAGTTGACAAGTAACCAGTACCGCTGCCAAGATTCAAGAATGACAATCCTTCCTTCAGTTCAAGTGATTCTAGGACTTGAGAGTAAATGCAAGGAGCTGATAGATGTATGTTCCCACTTTTCCAAGCCAAATCTTTGTAAGCATGTTGTTTTGTTTCCTCAGGAAAATAGTCAGCCCTGTTCACAACCCGCAAGACATGCTCAACTTCTGGTGATTTGATGTAGTTCATCTCTTTTAAATTGTCAACCAGCTCATCGTTGTCTTTTCCTGCACTTACGGCTCCACCCATTATATGCTGATCTGACGTTGTCTATGAAAATGACAGAAGGAGTTCTTTCTGTGATCAAGTCCCTACTACCAGAATAGTGAAAAGGTTATTCTTATCAATCCAGAAACTTTGTTAATTCAGCCATTAATAAATACATGCATGCTGGGCTGTCCTGAAGGTTTGATTTACCTTTAGCTAGCCTTGGTCATCAGACCCAAAACTAGCTTGCTACTTTGTGGATGAATTGTATCAACAACAGGCAAGTTTCCCCAGGAAGGGGGGGGGGGGGGGGG